CAGTAAAAAACAACTTATTGTACTGAGTAAATTGTTGTTTTAAAAAGTACCCAAAACTTTAAGTAGTAAATAGTTTAACATAAATACATTTTAAAAACAATTAAAATGTAAATTTGATATAAAACTAGTGGAGATTTAGAGGATGTTGAATGTGATACCAGAATGTGAGTGATAATTAGCAAATCTATTGCCCCCACTGTCAATTATCACTGAAATGATTTCACTCAATTAAAAAGTCAAAGAACAATTAACATCTACATGTATTTTCTCTAGAATATAAAATGTAACTACTATTGTTATAACAAGTCCAAATACAACATATATAAAGTGTAGTAAAAATGACTTTCTATTACACACCATGAAAAATTAAAAAGTAAAAACATTGATGACCCAATATCTAGTACAGACATGGACACTAAAATGTTTTGTTCAGGAAACATCTAAAGAATTGATGAGTTTGCTGTGTATACTATCAAGAGGTATCAAGTGGTGACTGCAATTATACCTTAGCAATTAGCCCAGATTACATAACATTGCTAACCAAAATAAAATTTTCAAAAATACTTTGTACAAAGGTTATTCTAGACTGCAATCTTTATCTATAATTTCTTTACATTTTTTAAAACATCAGAACATTGCTTTGACAACCAAGAAACTTTAAGACCAATTAATTGCCAAATTATGGTAATCAGTTTTTCTTAGATGTCTTATAAAATTTTCTTATTGTCTATATTTCATTTTTATACCAATTTGTTCCTTTTACCTATTTTGTTGAGTCTATTGAACCCCCAAATGTTTCAGAAAACAATGGTAAACAATAGGTAAAAAGTCTGCATTTATTAAGAAACCTAACATGTGCCAACACTTGTCTTAAATACACTACCCAGGCTTCTTATTAAATCCTGACAGCTATAATGTGAATTGTAATACTATCATTGTCTTTATTTTAAAGAAGAAAAAACAGAGGCTGAAGAGGACAAAAAACTTGCTGATGGTCAGAAATGGAGTCAGAAAACAAACCCAGTTGTTCTGAACTCCAGAGCCGAAGCTTCTAATTGCCATTCTAAGCTGTCAAGGAAGCAGAGCAGAAAACTGGGTGGCAAGACTGGTGGATGTTTGAATCTCCATCCTGCCAACTCAGAGGTTATGCTGAGCAGGCACAATTTATTTAAATAACAAACTAATTGATTTAATGATGAAATAGCTAATTTCTAAGCTCATTGCAATATAATCATATTAAATTAATG